ACTATAAAAACTGATCAAATGTGATGAATTTGTAAATCACACAAATATCTCAATCTTAGTATTCAGTAATGTGTCGTATATGCACACAGAAGAAGACGACCTATAGTCATGAAACGACGTCGCATCCTCTAGTTCTTTTACTAACATAAAACGACGCCGTACCTATTAATGAAAACGCTACAAAATAGCAAACCGCACTAAGATACCAAACCCGTTTTTGCTAAACACATCAGAAAACATAACAGAAATCACAGAAACAGAACGGCTACACTTCATCTTCATTCTTCACGCATAAGCTCTTATTCCAACAAAATGCAGCATTAAATTATCATATCATATTTCAGGGAGAAAAAACAAAATCTGTCAAGCAAATATGCAAAGCGTGTCCTAATTAACCAAATAATCCAACATTACATTCATATGCATAAAGGCGCACGATATCAGAACACTCAGAATCCTAAAGATGATTGAATGTCCAATATTTGCAGATAAATTATTACAAAGTGCGTCAATTGTTCCAATCAATAGCCACTAAACATTAAGATTTAACAAGTCTCAGACAACGACGACGCCGATCAGAGATCGACTGATACAAAGGCAAGGCAATACAAAAAGAGTTCAACACAATGATACGTGAACACAAAACATTTAACATGAGCACAACAAGATAACATTGTGGGATGGAAAGATCTTCTTGCATCGCAAGTCGTATCTACCCACTTGAGCAGATTTGCATGATAGCCTGCACATAATCACTTGTGTTGTTTAAGTTGAACGAAACATATATACCATGAGTTTTTCAGAGCTAAGTTCAAGATATCAGTATAAATGAAATTTATATGTAAGAATAAAAAATTCCAAAGTTCAATTTCTCAATTGACACGCAACACTTTCCAGCTTCTCAAGAGTATTATTAAGATATCGGATTAAGGGTTGTTTTTTAAAAGAAGATGAAATGAAGTTTTACTTGACCTTCCTCCTCATGAAGTAAGTCAGTAACTATCCAGCCTTCAAAACGTGTTGTTAAAGAGTAATAACATAAGAGTAGCATGTACACCAGAACTAAACGTAAAAAAATGGGAATCAACAAAACAAAAATAATCTCACAAAGCTCGTAGTAAATTTTTTTATGAGTAACGGAGACTAATATCGAAACATGTCAAACAAAAAAGAAGTTTTCAGTGGTATACCGTCAAGCCAACAACTCGTCGGGAGGAAAAATGGTGAGCTTGAACATGCCCTCTCCGGCAACTTGAGTTTGGTCCTTCTGCTTCTTCTTCTTTATGGCCTCACGGATTCTCTTGGCGGACCCAGCTGCAGATTTACAACGGTAAACGTCCAACAACTGCAGGCTCGGCACATCCGCCAGCCCAATTGGAATCTCCCCAAGCTCCTCACAGTTCTTCAGCTCGAGCCGCCTGAGCCTCGGGAAGTGATGTCCCGAGGCCTTCCACACGACCAGATCTGTCCGCCCAATAAACAGCACTTCCAGGCGGCGGAATCCCCCGTCAGCCGCCTCCCAATACTTTCCCTTGAAAGCCCGATCCTTGAGCTTCAGCACCTCAAGGCTGTCGAGCAAGCCCAAGATGGACATTTGGCTCCATTCGAGAAATGTTTCAGAGAGAGTCAGGCTCCGGAGTTTCGGCGGGAACTTGTAATGCTGCGGAAGGAACCGCAGCTGGCCCTCGGAAGCCGGGCTAGGGAACACGTCATTCACGAGCTTCAGCTTCTCAAGGCATGCCATCTTCGCAAGGCTGTCGAACGACCCGACTTTCCCTTCTAAAAGCATGTCCAGGCGGCCACGAATGCCGAGCCTCTTGAGGTTGCGGGCCCGGTTGAGGATCTCCTCCGTGCAGCTCTGCGGCGAGACGAAGCCAAGGGTCTGGAGCTTCTCGCCTTCTTTGCCCGCCGTCTTGGGTGGCGCAGGCAGGGATGCGGATGCGTTTGTTTTGATGTGCCTAAGTTGGGTCATTTTCCAGATATCGGCTTTGATGTCGAGCGTACGGGCCGGGGTGTCGACCACTAGGGTCTGCAGGTTCCAGAATTTGGAGAAGTAGGTGGGAAGGGTGGTGGTGGGCAAGTTGTAGGACAGCGTGATGTATCTGAGGTGAAACAGTTGATACAGCTCGGAAGGGAACTTGGTGAACTTCATGGGCTTGGCTTCTAGGACACGGAGGAGCTTGAAGGCCGAGGGGATGTTGGAAAGACTCGAACCCGGGAGGGTGATGTCCTCCTTGGAGAAACAGGCGAAAGAGCGGATATGGGGTCCGTAAAGCGTCTTAGAGTTGACAAAGTCCACAACGTTGGAGTGGATGCAGAGGCGGCGATATTTATCCACATCCCCAACAGGCGGGTTGAAGCCCCCTTCGCTTGACTTTTTAATCTCTTGAAGGAAATTTTCCCTCTCCTTCCCGGCCATAGTCTTGCAGAACTCACGGAGCATGTCGTGGATGCGGCACGTCTTCACCCTGCCCTCGGGCTTTCTCTTCTCGACCCTGATTAAATTCCGGCTGATGAGCTCCTCGAGATAGCTCTCCGCAGTCTCCTCCAGAGTATGATCGGTTCTTTGTTGGATAAATCCTTCGGCAATCCACATGCGGATCAATTTCCACACGGGGATCTCGTAATCCTCCGGAAACATCCCGAAATAGAGAAAACACGCCCTCAGATGATAAGGCAGTTTATCGTAACTCAGGGCTATGATATTCATCATGCGTTTCTCGGAGTCCTCCTCCGTGAGGTACGCGCCCACATTCTCCGATACCTTTTTCCAAGCGTTGCTTTTCACGTTGATATTATCAGACGATGAGAATCTCTTGACTAGAATGCCCCCAATGATCACTATGGCGAGGGGCAGCCTACGACACTCGTTCACGATCAGCTTCCCATAAGGCTCAAGCTCAGAAGGGCAATCGCGCTTGCCAAAGACCTCGAGTTGCAGCAACTCCCAACTCTCCTCGTGAGTCAAGAAACGCAGATTGTGGGGAGGCCTATCCCGGTTGGCGTACCGGGCCACCTCTTCATGGCGGCTGGTGATCAAGACTTTTCCCATCTTGTTGCCCTTTGGGAGGGCTATTTGGAGCTTGTCCCAGTCGTTGGATGTCCACACGTCATCCATGACAATCAAGAATTTCCCTTTCTCTAAATGAGACGCCACCAGTCGAGCTAGATCCTGATCATTTCGACTGTAAATGTCCTCAGTGATCCTAGTAAACTCTTTTAAGATGGCTAGAAAGATGTCTTTCTTCGTGAATTCTTGGGAAATATAGACCCATATGCGAGTGGGGAACTCGAACTGGATGTTCGGGTCCCGGAAGATTTTTCCTGCCAAGGTCGTCTTGCCAAGGCCGGGCATGCCTATTATGGAGATGATATCGAGTTGTTCTGTCTTCTCATTGAGGTACCCAATTATTTTCGCTGCCTCGTCGTCAAAACCGACCACGTTTTCTTGTCTCACAATTGGTGCCTGTTTTGAAAATGTTTCGCAAGAAGATATGTACCAGCGTTAGGAAACAAGAAATAGCTTGTACCTAGGGAGAAGCACATGTACTAAAACAAGGGGACTATAAAATGAACAATAAAAGAGATTAGAGAAAGAAAATTATGATTTGTTTTTCTCTACATTTTTAAGAAATATATGATATTTGAGTAAGATTTAAGAGGTTGCCACTCTCACACATTTCAATTCCATTACCTCATGCCCTCCCCTTATGTGATTTATATATAAAACAAGAAAAAACAAAGTTGAACTTTTTCATTGAGTTAGAGAGTGTTGAAATAAATTAAACTTTCTCTTGGATGGTTAAGGGAAGAAGGAAAAGGCAATAAAAAGAACCAAAAAGTGTAAGGTACCGGGTTCGAGCAAAACTTCAACTTGAACTAGATTAATATAATATTATACACTTTGCTCTGCAGTCATCCATAAACCACAAGTCATACTACAGAGAAAACCTGTAATATAATAAAGCAAGTGTTTTTCTAAACTTAGACTTCTCAAGGAACCCAAATTTTTTTCCAGGAGCATCACTACGCCAACATACTCTTCTCATAAATATACATATACTTTCATTAGAAAATCTAATGTTTTAAAAAACCATTGTAAACAAAAGTATGACATTTGATGGTATAAGCATGCATAATCATTCATTAAGTATCGCCGGTCAACCCGGTTACACGGCCCACATAGATCCCACATTCAACATTCTTACCAACAAGAAAATAGAATCAGACATAGCCTGTATAGGAAGTTTGAGAACAAATTAATAAGTGAAATCTTGAAAACTTGTAGTATTGATGTAATCAGCAACACTAACTTTCTGAAGATTCAATCTAAAAATCATTTGTCACTAAACAAGGTTCCATACCATACTTTTTCACAACGTTGATCTCATTATCAATGGCAATTAAATCCCTAATTTTGGGCAAAATTGAGGTCGCAAAAAAGAGGAGCCATGGAAATTACCTCGACCTCGTCGGGCTTTTCATCTCCAATCTTGAGGGTGGAAAAGTCGATGAGGTTCTTATCGCCGTAGATCTCCTTGACCTTGACCTGGACGGCCTCCACCTGCTCGGCGATGTTCATGAGCTTGAACGGCTTGCGGAGCTTGAGGAAGTAGTTCGTCGACTTGGTCTCCGTCGCCTGGGTCACGAAGGCGTCGATGACGTCCTCCGCCTCGTACACGACGTCACGAATCTGCCGGACGAGCTCCTGGAGGCGGCGGTCCTTCCGCCGCTTCTTGGTGGAGTCCTTGAGAAAGGCGTTGAAGAGGCGCAGATCCTTCTCGAGCCGCTCGACCTGGCTCTTGGCGCTGCTGATTAGCTCCGCCTTGGTCAGGAGGAGATGCTTCAGGTTCTCCAGCAGGAATTCCACGGCGGCGTCCGCCATCGTCGCCGGTTGTGAGCTCTTTCGATAATTTAATTTTTCTACGAGGGGGTGTGTGTGAATGATGATATGGTCACCGGCGTGGATTGTAAAATGAGGAATTAATAACTAATTATATATTGAGACTGCGTGTGGGAGAGAGAGATGTTGGACGGATGATTGTTGCCGCGTTGTCTCCGGTTACCGGTCTCATCTTCGAAGGAGTCACCCCACAGTTGACTGCACGGTTATTTAGATTTTTACCAGTATCAACACAATCTTATATTTATTTCTATACAAATGTGTTAATCCAAAATATATAAAAAAAAAATAAAAAAAAAGCTCCATTTTTATTATAATTAATGCTGCAATTTAAAAAATGGTGAATTGCAAATTATGTAAAAAAAGTTCTTTATTTATTAGAAAAATACCAACGCACACATGTTAAGAAGTGAAGCTCAGACTCATTAATTTAGTTAACAAGCTTGACAAAGACTCTCAGAACCTAGAGCTCGGCTCGTCGTTGTAATATGCATAAGGTCCAAAATCCAAATGCTAAAGATACTACTATGAAAGATGAATCTAAAAATTAGTTGTTTATTACCGATTTATATAAAAAGCATATATGTATCCAAATAAATTAAAGAAACCAAAACGAAAACAAAGCTAATAATTGTACCTTGAAGAATAACCCACCAAAATTGACCAAAAAGTCGGTAGAAATGACAAGTGGAAAATAGTAGTTGGCGAAATCTACTAAGATCAAATTCGCATGGTAGATTCATTGCATAAAACGGTGTAAACAATAATCTGTAACGCTTTTTTTTCCTTCCAAAATTGGCTAAAAAAATGGGAAAAATAAAATATTATTGTACTAAATTCTTTACCTACAATTATATATATAATTATAATTTTTTTTTAAATACTATAAACGACACATGACTCAATAATTGTATCTATATACTGATTGGCTATGTTTTACACACGGCACAATAATTGTACCACATGGCCGGTGGCCCAGTTTTTAGTAAATGGATTGTATATATGAATTGTCCCGAAACGTGCTGGGGACACTTGAAAATTGAAATATTGGGAGCTTTAAGATTATTGTGTTCATACATGGTTTTTTTTTTTTTTTNTTCAGACATGTTATAGTCTTTAACGTGAAATTCTTTTGGAATACGAATCGAGTTCGAACTTTTATACTCAAATTAGGATGCGAGTCTTTATTGAATTAAGTCGAGTTCGAGCCGAACTCAAACTCATTAAATGAGATTCATGCTCACAAAAATCTTATTTTCAAGTTTCACTCCTCTTATTACCTAAAAGAGCTTTAAATGAATTTAAATTCGACTCGTTTGAATCTGAACAAACCAAACTGAACCACATCAAACTTAAAAATGAACAACTAATTTCGTTTAATAACTTTAATTTAAACTAGCACGAAAATCATGTCAATAGTAAATGGATGTAAAAACAGCATATTATCACAACTTGCAAGTGTTGAGTTGTAAGTTGTCACAAATAGACTGTCAAAATCAAAAGGGTATTCAACTCTCTCCCGATTGGTCGAATCAATTGCATCCAACCTCTTTCTATAATCCAACCTCTTTCTAAGGTCACTTGCAAGTTGTAAATTCACTAAATTGTCACAAACTTTTTCTATAGGTCACAACTTGCAAGTTGTAAATTGTTACAAATAGGCTGGCATGATGTTTCTTGCTGTTGTCTTATTTGACATTTCATGGAGCCTTACATTAGATTACGTAATATTTCTTTTACACTAGAAGTCGTGTCGATGTTAAATTGTGCCTTTTTTTTTTCAGGTCAATCTTTTATAAGTCAACCCTCGCAAAGGGAGATATATGCTGCAGAGTGCAGAATAAATTACTGGGCCAAAATCTGGGTTTGGGCACATTAGATATTATCCAATGTTTTCTGATCTAATACCTGCTCCTTAGTAGTGCCGGATCCCATGTTCTTAAAAATCATATTGGGCCAGATGGTTTGATCTCCTCTTATTAAAGTTGAGCCTTATAATTAAATACTCTTGTTTTTGGACTAGCAGTCTGAAAGTTATAGCTTTATTGTGTAAACAACTCAAGCCAAGTCAAACTTCTTGAGTTTGGGATTCAGTCCTTATAAAGCCGAATTGAGCTCAATATTACCGAGTCAATAAAAGTCTTAACGAGTTGAATTATTGTAAATTACATAATTTTTTGTATTTTGATCTTTAACGAGCTAAGCCATACTGAGTTCGACTTGCTTATCGAACTGAGTCGAACCAAGCTCACAAGTGGTTCGCTTCGTTTAAAGCTCAAGTTTTACACAATGAAATATTCCCACTTGAGCTTTTATAATTTTTATTTTTCTACTTTTTTTTCTTTTATTTATTTATTTATTTTTTCTGGTGATCATTATACTCCACAATTTCTAAAATATTGAGGCAAATTTTGGTTTTAGAAGCAACCTTCAAATTGAGGTCTATATTTGTTTCAATTGATTATCAATGGATCCACAATTCAGGAATATGGAGGCCATATTAGTTTTAGAAGCAACTGTTATAGCCAATAATAGTCAATTGGTTTATTATTTTGCTACACTTATTCAATAAGCGTGATGACAATATTTGGCTATTTTGACAACATCATATAATTGATAAAATGTCTGAAATTGAAAATCTAAACACAAAATGCAAAAAAATGGTTAATGTATTTGATAGCTACACTCCCGAAAGGCGAAAGGTAAGTTTAATTTGCTGGGCTCTTGTGTGCACTCTTCATTCTTCAACCTAATTACTAATTTTTAATAACCAAGCAATCAAGAAGAAATTCAAAAAAAGACATAAATAAATTAATTAAAATAATGAAAAAGTATCTAAAATTAATTTATTGCAAGAGAAATATTTATTTCCCTATATATTAAAAAGTTTTTCTTTTATTTTTATTTCTTGTAAAAAACAAAACCGTTCTTGCTAAAGCATTTCCTTTTTTTTAATCAAATCAAATCAATCATTTTTTTTTAAATTCTGAAATTTTAGTTTTCTACTTGCAAGAAATCGCACGATCTCTAACGATATAACTAATGCTTGCATCACTTTCCTTTTTTACGTTCTACAATCTCATCATCACATGTTCGCGTGTTTTGCATGGAAATCTAACCCCCAAAATCCATAACTTCACGAACAACTCCAATGGAAATGTTCCTATTCTATTTCTATTGATTTTTAATCATTTCTTCACTATTAAAATTATTGAAACAATGCCAACATAAAATGCATATTTCANTGTGGAATCATAAAACTCCAGCTCATTCAAAGAAAAATTTAATTCTAACAGAACATTTTTAATGTTGGTCTCACCAGGAATATTTTTGGATTTTTTTTTCAAAAAAAAAGTTATAACGTTGATATATCCGGTACGAATTTTTGTTAGAATCAGTTTTCATTTGAGAATTCTCTTTGAAATTTGACATTTCTTGTTAGTGTTGCAATAAATCTCCTCTTATTCCCTCAAATTTCAACCTTTCTTAATCCCTTGTTACCCATAAGCAACACCTTAACTTAAATTCCATCCTTTTATGACCTCATCAACTCTCAATCTTCATCTATTTAAAAGCTCCCACACTTCTCAACATGAACATCTCAACGCATTTCTCTTAAGAGTAAACACAAAAAAAAAAATAAAAAAATGAAGAAATTCCTCCTAGCAATCCTCTCTTTGCTCCTAATCATTCGTCTCGGCCGGGGTTTCGACTTCCACGAGTCCGAGCTAGAGACGGAAGAGAAACTATGGGCAATGTACGAGAGGTGGAGGGCCCACCACACGGTCTCGAGGAGCTTAGACGAGAAGCACACACGATTCAACGTGTTCAAGGCAAACGCACGCTACGTGCATGGCTTCAACAAGGGAGACGAGCCGTACAAGCTTCGACTCAACAAGTTTGCCGACATGACGGGACACGAGTTTCGAAGCATGTACGCAAACGCTCGAGTGAGGCACCACCGCATGCTCCAGGGGAGCGTGCGGGGGAACACTACCTTCATGTACGAGGGCATGAAGAGTGTCCCGGCCTCGGTCGATTGGAGGGCGAAAGGGGCCGTTGTTGGAGTCAAAGATCAAGGCCAATGCGGTTCGATTATTCGCTCTTTTATTTATTTCTTTCTTTCATTTTTCTTCTATTTTTCTTGGTGATCTACCTAACAATGATAATTGGAAAATTATAATGTTGTTAGGGAGTTGTTGGGCGTTTTCAGCTGTGGCGGCCGTGGAAGGGATAAACCAGATAAAAACGGACAAATTGGTGTCGCTATCGGAACAAGAGCTTGTCGACTGCGACACTCAAAAGAACCAAGGCTGCAATGGAGGTCTAATGGACATAGCATTTGAGTTCATAAAAAGTGAGGGCGGTATCACGACCGAGATAAACTACCCTTACATCGGCAAAGATGGAAAGTGTGATCTCGAGAAGGTTCAGTACAAAACAAAGTTACGACATACGATTAAGTAAAAAAAAAATAATCTTTCTTTTGATTGGATAATCTTGAGCTTTACGTTGTTTTGCACGTGTGGCGCAGATGAAGTCTCCGGCAGTGACAATCGACGGCTATGAAGACGTGCCGGAAAACGACGAAGATGCACTGATGAAAGCAGTCGCCAATCAACCCGTGTCGGTTGCCATTGACGCGGGTGGTTATGGTTTCCAGTTCTATTCAGAGGTGAACCATAAAAAATATTATCATATTTTACTGATTAAGATTTAAAACTTACTGTTGTNTAAACCAGATTTTTTTTTATTTTTTTTTCCTTTCCTATTGCAGGGGGTATTTACAGGGATTTGTGGAACAGAGCTAAACCATGGGGTGACAATTGTGGGTTACGGAACAACAGTTGACGGAACCAAATATTGGATCGTGAAAAACTCTTGGGGGCCCGAATGGGGCGAGAAGGGCTATATCAGGATGAAACGAGGGGCTAGATATAAATACGGGCTTTGCGGTATTGCCATGGAAGCATCTTATCCGATTAAGAATAAGATGTCATCCAACAATGTTCCCAAAGATGAACTCTAAAATCGCGAACATGTCACAGACATTAATTCTTCTGCTGTTTGTGCAAGTAACTGAAACTCCATGCTACGATTATGGAGCTCCTTAACACATTATTACAATTATTTGTGAGGTGAATGAAATTCAAAGAGATATAGTGGATTTGAAATCATGTGTGTATCGGGCGTGATTTGCTCGTTTAGTAATGAAATAAACTGTGTCCCTTTATATTTAAAGATACTTTCGCATTGATATAGAACAAGACGTGTATCACATAATTCAGATTATTCGAAGATTTGAAAACATAAACTAAGAAACCGAACGAGCATTGCTGATCGAACCTCTCACAAACAAAAACAGATCATTCCCCAGCGAATTTACCAACAGAGAAACATGACACTCACAACCGAATGGCTCCATCTTATTTACCACGGAAAATGTGGATAATCGTAACATGATCAATATTTCTAGAATCGTCTAAATCAGCTACACAAAATGAGCACTTGCAGCCTCAAACTCAAAGCACAACACATCACAATACGATGCATTACCAGTTCAAACATCACAAAAGCGAATAAATAAGTAACCTTCAAAGGTGCCAATCGTAAATAAACTTTTAACTTGAGGTAATTTTACGAAACTTCTAACCGTAGCAACGGATCGGGTCATTGCAGCCCTTAGCAGCCGATTGCTTGGAGCCATTACGCCCGCCTTTCTCCAAGTACTGCTGGTGATATTCTTCGGCCCGGTAAAATGTCTTGGCCGGTAGAATTTCAGTCACGATTTTTACCTTCATCTCCTTTTGCTTTGCTTCTAGCGAATCTCGGGCTAATTTAGCTTGTGTCTCGTTGTAATAATATATGCCTGACCTGTATTGTGTCCCGATATCCCCTCCCTGCCGAAAATTTCACACAAACGGAGTTATTTGATGCAATACAATTTTTTCTAAGGAAATAACAAACACATATACGTTGATATATAAAGATTCATCACTACTTCATAAGCGACGACAATATATGAAACGTGGTTTTATATGAAACGTGGTTTTATCGGGGGTGATCGAATTTGAAATATCATAGTTGAAATCTTTTAGTTTTTTGTTCACATTTTTTTTTTTTTTTTGGTACAACGAAGGAGGCCAATGGCCCGAAACTACTATACTAGGACTCGTCGAGGATAGGCCACTCCACGGATGTTGTGGTCAATCCATGCCCCTAACTGCCTAACACCTTTATACCATCATATAGTAAATTTGGCAATCATACATTTTTTCAACAGACATACATGAAAGCAATGTCATACACTAAAAAACATCATAAACAAAAGTATGACAATTCATAATAGTCATACAAGAATTTGTGTCCTAGCTAGAGGTGTAAACGAGCGAGCCGAGCCGAACTCGAGTTCATTATCTAGCTGAGCCAAGCTTAACTCATTAACTCAACGAGCTCGAGCTCAACTTGTTTATCAAAATTAACGAGGTGAGCTATAAACAAATTACATATAAAAATTCTATTTTTGAGCCTCTACGAGAGTTAATTTAATAAACAAGCTTTAATCGATAATAAAATTATGGTTGGTGCATAGCAATTTGAGAATAACCTATCATCGTATTCGTTTATGTTCGTTACAACAAACATAAACGAAATCAAAATGTTCATTTGCAGCCATAAATCCGCACCTCAAAATTCAATCCACCAATTTTTTTTTCCGTAACTCTCATAAATTTATGTCAATATTCAGTGCAATAATTAGAAGCATTAACGAGAAAAACAGTATTAAGAAAAATACATAAAAATTGAGCAAAATTACCTGGCGATTGAGGGTGGTGGGATCATGTTTTCCCCAAAACACGTCCAGCAAAGTGGTGTATGGGCAAACTTTCGGGTCGAAATGAACCCGAACAACTTCAGCGTGATTAGTGGATCCGGTGCAGACCAGTTTGTAATTCGGGTCATGGACCTGGCCCTGTGAGTAGCCCACCTCAGTCTTCACCACGCCCTGGACTCTCTGGAAGGCCAGCTCGACGCTCCAAAAGCAGCCCGCTGCAAATTGGGCCAGCTCCAGACCCGGATCAGCCGGGGAGTCCAGATCCGGTTCGAGGGCCGGGTTGACTGACTTTTGGTTCTGTCGGTCGTTGGAAGCCATTGGCGGAGCTGCGAATGATGGTGTTTTTTTTNGATTAATTTGGACAGGTACGAAAATTGAATTTGGCCGTTAAACAAGGTGTGATGCATCACAATATTATTATTAGTTGACTTTTTTTTTATATTATTTTTAGTTAGGATTTGCGATGGTGTATCCATATCCAACATGAGATATTTTTTTCGGTAGTTTTATTTATAACCATTCAAGTATTTTTAGTCGCATCTCCTATTCCATTTTCCTTTTTTTTTTTCATTTAATTGATAAATGATGAGTATAAATGGTGATTTCACAGTTGTATAACTGTTATCCATCAGTGAACGAAAATATAAACGAGTCGAATTATACTAAAAGTTTAAAATATATATAAAAATTCATATTTATCAAGCTTAACGAGTTATGAATTGAGGTAAGTTTATCTTGTTAACTAATAAACAAGTTTTAAATAAGCTTAACCTCAACTCGTTTATAATGTTTAATAAATTTTGAAGTATAATAAGAGATTAAACATGAAATTTTTACGGGGAATCTAATCTAGTAAAATAATGCACGTTTCGGTATTTCAACCATTAATTTTCCAAAATCCCTAACTTCTCTTCACCATATAACAATCTTTTTAATCCCAACATTATAAATACAATGCTTTTATCTTCGAGTTGTTGATCTCGATCAAGGATGGCGCCTCAGCCGAAGCCGATCCCAAGAATTACAATGGAGTTGTTGTGTGGAATTGGAAAATAGAGATGATAACATAAAAAGGATAAATAAGTTTAGAAGAAAAAAAGGATATATAAGTTTAGAATTTTAGACTTGTTATTATCATGTGGATTTGAAATTGATAACATAAAATAAATAATGCATTACAATACAACACGTACCCTTCTATCTCGAAACATGGTAATTTTCTTATAGTGGATTCTTTTTTTTTTTTTTTGTTTAATTTATAATTATTTGTTTATATAATTCCTCTTTATTTATAACAAAAAGGAAATGATGTAATTTTAGTCCAGTAACTTTGTTGTTTACCATGTTGTCCACTAAGATTTTATACAGTTTGGTATACCAAGATTTTAAGTGTAAATTTTTTCCACAAAATGAGTGAAACTGAACTTAGCAATGTTGGCCACTTTCTATACATTTATTCACCATAAATTGGCCGTAAATTAAATATTTTATTTATATTATGACCATTTATTTTGTTAACAGTCAACAGAGTAATTGATTATTAGCAATGTTATACGTTCCTTTAAGCAACTACAAACACGAACATAATGTCGGTGCCACCAATATTTTTGATAATTTAGTCAAATGTTCATATAAAAGCACTTCATTATATCTGCCCATTTAGCTAAAGATACATTAATTTGACCTGTTTTCTGGCCATTATTATATATTAATCCAATGTTCCTAAACAAAAAACTTAAAATAACAAACTTAACAACATTATTTACTAGAGAACACGAGAAAGAAATTTCTCAAAAAAAACAATGTAAAAAGTGCCTAAATTTTTCTACTACATCTCTTTAAAAACGGGACGCCGAAAGTATATACAATGGGAGCACAGAGAAAGCAAATTTAATGAATATTCACCACATGGAAACACATACTTATGAGCTAGGAGACAACCTTGACTTATCATGGGTCCACAAAAATTGAATTGTTGATTTTAGTAATATTATAATAAAAAAAAGTAACAAATACTTATGTTTGTATTTTTAATAGCACGCTGTACAAAAATTGAATTGTTGATTTTAGTAATATTATAATAAAAAAATAACAAATACTTATGTTTGTATTTTTAATAGCACGCTGTAAATTATTCTCATAATGAAACGAGCTATTACCATACAATAATATACGTATTGATTTTCATGGGTTATAGTTTTGGAAGGTATGGCGCGGCTTATTTGTTTAGATATTTGGACGATAAAGAAGAAATGGGTATTGTCTTTTAGTATAAATTTTATGGAATAAGAAGACTATTGCAAGAATACTTTTTCGACATAGTGGGCTTAAGAGAAAATTTGACTCTGCGGGTATATGTGAATGTATGCAATCTAATGGCTAAAACCGTCGTGGGGCAACTATCCATGGGTAGAGTGAATGTAAGTATAATCACGGATCTTGAATAAATAATTTTGTGTGCATGAAATACTTATTGATGCATAAGACGACATAATTTGTGATCTTAATCTTGATGATTACATGTGCTTAATCGATTCTTAGATCTAAAATTGGTTTCTTTCTCCTGGCCGTCTCTTGACGTAGCAGAAAACTGATGGGATAACAACTACATACATTAATAGGAGGAGAGATGACTAATTTATATATGAGTGACTTTAAATCTGGTACGTCTATTAAATATCTAGATTAATGATTTAGATTTATTTGACTAAGGTATAGGCCAATAAATAATTAATTGAGAACCCAACCATATTCTTAGAGTGAAATCAAAATGATTAAAAAAAATGCAATGAAAAATGGAGGCATAATGATCAGCATTCTTGTTTTTAATCAAGTGTGTTTGTATATATGGTGTGGTCGGTTTGTTTGTTCAACTTTATATGACACACTGTAATAAAAAAAGTATAAAGAGAACCTTTTTTAAGTCAAAAGCTGATCATGGTTTTATGTGCCTGATACACACTCCTAGCTAGGGCCAAGTATTAATTATTTTATATTAGTACTAGTTAATAATTATTAATAGCATTCAAGTATTATCAGCCCCCAAAAAATTCACAAAGTAGAACCTCAACGAAGAGAATCTACTTGTGTTCATGAAGGAAAAAATAAATAAATAAATTAAATAAGTGGAAAAAGTGCCACTTTAGAGAAGACTAATGTTAGTCTGTCTATCAAGTGCCATTCATGATTTATTATTATTTATTTATTATTATTATTATTATTATTATTATTATTANTTTTGGAGAGTAAAATGTTGTTAGGCCCTCATGGATCTTGTCCAAGAAACCAAATCATGAGTTGTGGGCTTGTGGCAGCCACCTTCTCTTTATTATTGTGATATTCTGTTTAATGTCGAATGCCACTCAAAGATATTGAAATAGATTATAAACATGATGCTGGTACAAAAAACTCAGGTCTTTCTTTTGATTGATTTATTGTTTTGGGAGTTATTGGAAAACCATTGTTGAAGATAACGTTAGACAGGCCAAACAATTAGACAATTATATTTTTTCAATAACATGCTTTAGACAATTAGACAATTATATATTTCAAATGACATGCTTTAGAAAATTTAATAAACAAAAGTATGACATTTATTAATATAAATATGTATTTTTATTTTATTTTTTTAAAAATATAGCTGGTTGATCCACCTAGACCGTCTCACATAAAATATTATAATCAATATTAATTATTTGATTACATAAGGTTTTCGGTTAGGTTGTCTAATAGTTAGACAATCATATTATTCCAACATATATATATATATATAATTTAATATTTAGATGTCATATTTTAAATTATAATATTAGACTAAAATGTCACATTTTATAGTGAATATCACATTATATAGTATAATTAGTTTATTTTACAATAAAATATGTCTAGTGACTACTAACCAATTGTGATTTGATAATATTGTCCATAATCTTATTAATCACGAGTTTCGTTCTAAAAAGTTAGGTACGCAAAAATATGGTGCAGTTATTTTGATCAAATTTGCTTTAGCGTATTTGATTGCTGATATTTTTATGGTGTTTCGAAAAATGAAGTTTCTATTAATCAAATTATGGAGTCATGTCGACTTTATTTAGCCACGTCAATCAATTTACCACCAATAACAACAGCGCAAAAGATGTATATATAAGACAAGTGTGTAAGAATTTCACTGGGATTAATGATGAAAAGATATTTGTTTTTTTTCGGAATTGCACAGAAGGATAACATTCATGCATCTTAGGCGGAATTAATGTGTGGTGATTACAAAATGAAATAATTCATAGGATTTATTGCTATTAGCTAGAACTCATATATATATATCTTGTACATCTGTCTAGATTTAATTGAAAAGTGAATTCAAAGGTGTTGATATTAATTTTTTCATGTTATCGTAAACTGGTTCATGACAGAGGAATTATTTACATTACCTTTTGATTTAAGACATGAATGATTTTTAATTATTTCAAAAGCCTACATTACAAATGTTCTTAAGTTGGCTTTTTAAATAACTGTGAATATGAGTTAAAATTTTGTAAACCCTTAATAGTTTAATATATGTTTTTAGCAAACCAAAATGTACAAGTTACACAACTATGAATTTGTCACCGCAAAGCAAATTCGCAATGCATGTAAAAAGCCTCAAAGAAATATATATATCAGAGATTATCAACTTCAATTTTTTTATTTTTTTTTTAATTATTGTGACAATTTATATCGACAAACCGAAAATACAATGCGACATCTGTTCACTCAAATTATCACACCTAACTTAGATAGGCCACAAACAAAATAACGAAAACTATAGAGTATAAAACAACCAATANTTTTTTTTTTTTTTTTTAACAAAATCCTACTTTCATTTTACTAAATCCACCAAACAATCTATAATTCTAAGCTTCTCATTCGTTGATGATGATGATCCAATATCATCCCATCCTTGCTTCGTCGATTCTCTTCCTCTTGGCGATAGACACATATTTCATGGCCTTGGCCGAGATCACTTTCCTCACGAGCAATCTCCACCGCGCGTCATTCCCTTTTCGGTCTTGCTGCATTTTTAATTTGAACTGCCTGCAGTTAAAAAAAGCCAAAATGTAGAATTTAGCCAAGGAAGAACGATGCACGGTTTATCCTTTTTTATAAGATTGGTTAGTTCAATTAGTGTGGCACATTATAGTAAAGGTAGATTATTTAATCCCATAGTAGCACAACACAACATAATTGAATCAAGAAGGTGCATATGGTGGAGCTTTTATCTTTTCCCCCCAAAAAAGCTACAATTTGAGACATAGTTTATGCAATTGATCCAACCTAAAATATCAAGAAGGTGCATATGGTGGAGCTTTTATCTTTTTCCTCC